AGGCATCAGACCGAAATTTGCTTGGTACCCCAAAATTAAAAAACACTGGTTATGAGATGGTTATGCTCAAGAATGCTTCCATCAAGTTGTCAAAACTTTATGATTGCTCATCTACAGTTTAAGAAGTAGAACCTAAAGAAACAATACAAAGAATCAGAATATCTGTTTTTAATGTTAAGGGAACATAGACACATTCTCAACTTAATTTCTTTTACTATCTATCTCAAAAGCATCATTATTTCATACCTAATATATTATGATTTTAACTAGATCATTTATTTTGACCTTTCAGTCGTATCTTTAAAAAACTTGGTAGTTTGATGGAAACTTAACAACAACACAATGTAGCCTCATTGCTAATGTAATAAACAAATTTGCAGGGTAGAATAGTGTGGAATATGGATAGTTGATCTCGTCATCTATTTTGATTATTAATAACTTAAATTTCAGATAATGACTTTTGCTTTTTTGATGAGAACCTAATCAAAGATTTTATGTAGTATTTAATATTTCATCTTTTTGGTGATTACCTCTGATTATCTTGTCACCACTGTGATGATTAGCTATTATATTAATATAACATTTGGCTTTTGAACCATATCCTTAATTGAATGCAACCAGAAACACAATATATGCCCTTCATTTAACCCCTTATGGTAAATGTGGCAGTTTATGATTTGATAAACATTGGTAACTTCAAGTTTCCTAAATAGGTTCAAAATATATGTATCCAAATATTCTTAATTCTTTCAAAGTTTTATTAGCACAATGACAAAGCTTTTTAGCTATCTAACATTGTAAGGTATATGATAATTCCCTTAAATAATGAGACCTAAATTGTTTTCCCTCTTTTCTTATTTAAATATCAGTAAGCAAAAAAGATGTTTTTCTGGAAAGGGATAAAGGCGATTTGGGAAGGTAACCATCTCTATCCTTGGTAAATAAAGAAATTTTCTATTCTTTTTGTTGTTGTTGTCATGGAGGAAGATTAATTCGTTATTATCTTTAATTCAGTTTCAAGATTACATAAATTGCAATTATATACAGGTGTGCTTTATGGCTTTGATTAACCCTATGCATTTTTTCCTTGCAGGTCATATCTTCCATGAGAAGAAACTATTATTGTTTTGTTTTTCAACTTGGTTTATATAAATGAATATGTTAACCAGCCTATACAGTCTACCAATAGGAATAACTGATACTAGTGTTTTCATTGGAATTTTCCCTCTTAAATCTTAACCATTTTAGTAATCTTACCCTGTCACCCCTCCTCCTGTGTCAAATAATTGTTAGTTTATCTTTTTTGATTAATAAAATTTATTTTTGAAGCAGTTATAGATTTACAGAAAAATGAGCATAAAGTACAGAGTTCCACATACCCCATAACCACACATGCACCACCTCTCCCATTATTAACATCCTGCCCAAAGTGGTACACTTGTCACAATCAAGGAAATTCATTGACACGGTATTGTTACCCCAAATTCATACTTCACATTGGGGTTTAATCTGCTACTTTATGTTCTGTGACTCTTGACAAATGTTTAGTGGCATTTACCTACTATTGTTGTATCATAGAGAATACTTCCACTGACTGCCCTAAAAATTTGTGTTCTCTCTATCCTTGTCTCCCAATTCCACCCTATGACAACCAGTGATCTTATTGTCTTCATAATTTTACCTTTACCTAAATGTTATATAGTTTAACAGTATATGTAATCTTTTTAGATGAATTTAATTTTCCCTATATCCTAGCTTTATAGTTCACCTTTTATTAGCACTTAATAATATCCCTTGGCTATTTATACCACAGATTCTTTATCCACACATCTCCTGAAGGACATTTTGATTGCTTTCATGTTTTGGTAACTATAAATAAAGCCAGTATAAAGATCTCTGCAGGTTTGGATGTGGACATAATTTTTTAATTTTATTTTTTTAATTTGTTCTAATTAGTAATACATGACAGTAGAATGCATTTTGACACATTGTACACTGATAGAGCACAATTTATCCTTCCTCTGGCTGAACATGGTGCAGAGTCATCACTAGTGTAATCATACATGTATATATGTCTCATTCCACTATCTTTCCCATCCTAACACCCACTCCCCTCTTCTCACTCTCCTCTGCACAATTCAAAGTCCCTTCATTTTTCCCTACCTCCTACCCCCATTATGGATTAGCAGCCGCTTATCAGAAAAAACATTTGGTCATTGCTTTTTTCAGTTTGGCTTATTTCACTTAGCATGAAATACTCCAGCTCCATCTATTTACCGGCAAATGCTATAATTTCATTCTTCTTTATGGCATAATTTCATATTATGAGTAATATTCAGTTGTGTATATGTACCACATTTTCTTTATTCATTTATCTGTTAAATCGTGTAGTATGCTGGTTTAAAGTCCTTTGGGTACAGACCGAGGAGTGGGGTAGCTGGGTCAAATGGTGGTTCCATTACAAGATTTCTGAGGAATCTCTATACTGCTTTTCAGAGTGGTTGTACCAATTTGCAGTCCCACCAGCAATGTATGAGTGTATCTTTTTTCCCACATCCTCACCAACACTTATTGTTGCTTGTATTCTTGATAATTACCATTCTGACTAGAGTGAGATGAAATCTTAAGGTTTGATTTGCATTTCTCTAATTGCTAGAGATGATGAACAGTTTTTCATATGTTTGTTGACTAATTGTATTTCTTCTTCTGTGAAGTGTCTGTTCAGTTCCTTAGTCCATATGTTGATTGAGTTGTTTGGTTTTTTTTGGTGTTGTTTTTTTAGTTCTTTATATATCCTGGAGATTAATGCTGTATCTGAGGTGCATGTGGTAAAGATTTTATCCCAAGATTTTTGGTTGAAAAGAAGCTTTTTAGTTTAAATCCATCCCATTTATTGATTCTTGATTTTACTTCTTGCACTTTAGAAGTCACAAATTTTTAATTCATTTCAGTAAATACTAGTAAGTACTATTGCTGAATCATATGGTAAGGATGTAAGTATTTTATAAGAAATGTTTAAATTGTCTTCCACAGTGACTATGTAATTTTGCATTCCCACCAGCAAGGAAGATTTTCTTTGCTTTACATGTTTACTTTCATTTGTTATTATCAGTGTTTCAAAATTTGGTCTTTCTAAAACGTATATTAATGTATTATGGTTATTTTAATTTGCACTTCAAAATTAGTATGATGTATATATTTTCCTACTTTTTTTAAAACCATCTCTATGCTTTCTTTAATGAGTATATCTGGTCAGTCTCTTGCCAATTTTTTAATTAATCTGTGCATTTTCTTATTGTTGACTTTTCATTGTTCTTTGTATATACTGAATAACAAACAGTCTTTTATCAACCCTATATTTTTCAAGTATTTTCTCCTACTCTGTAGCTTGTTTTCCCACTTTCTTGACATAGTCTTTTGATAGAGTAGAAGTCTTTAATAACATGTTTATCTTATTGATTTTTTTCATTAATCAAATGTTTGATGTTTGACCTAAAAAGTCATCCCATATCCAAGGTTATCTAGGTTTTTCTGCTATGTTATCTTATAGGAATTTTATACTTTCACATTTTACATTTAGTTCTATTATCAATTTTGACTTAATGTTTGGTGAAGGATTTAAGGTCTGTCTAGATTCATGTTTTTTAAGTGTGGGTGTCCAACTAGTCTAGAACCATTTGTTAAAAATACAATCTTTGCTTCATTGTACTGCCTTTTCTCTTTTGTCAAAGATCAGATCATTCTATTTCTCTATTTTCTGGCCTATATATTCTATTCTGTTGCTATATTTGTCTCTTTTTATTTTTTACCTATTACCTTACTATCTTGGTTATTGTAATTGTCCAATTCAGTCTCGGAGTTGGACAGTGTCAGTCCCTTAACTTTTTCTTCTTTAATATTGTGTTAGCTATTCTAATTTTTTGCATCTATACATAAACTTTAGAATAGATTTATTAATGTATACAAAAAAACTTGCTGGGATTTGATTTTGGATTAAGTTGAATCCTTAGATCAATAGAGGAAGAACTGACATTTTGTCAATACTAAGTTTTCTTACCTGTGAATATGGGATATCTCTCTCCTTTTATGTATTTTTCTTTGAAATCTTTCATCAGGGTTTTGTAGATTTCCTCAAAGGACCAATTAATTCTTAAAATTGGAGTCTTGTTCATTGAGTCCACTTGTCCCTAGTGACCATTAACATCATTGTGTAAAGATTACTACACTATTTTGTGTAAGATTTGGGCAATTATTTCTTAAAGACCAGGATTAATGGAAAACTCTTGCTTTCTGACTTTTTTTAAATTGTTACCGACTTTTTTAATATTTTTATTTTTTAGTTGTAGTTGGACACAAGACCTTTATTTCACTTGTTCATTTTTTTAATGTGGTGCTGAGGATCGAACCCAGGGTCTCGCATGTGCCAGGCAAATGCTCTACTGCTGAGCCACAACTCCCACCCTTGTAACAGACTTTTGATCACATTTTGATAATTGTTATAATTATAATCCTTATCAATATTTGGGAGAAAATGTAATTTTAGGTGTTCCAGATCATGAAAGTTATCTCCTAACTCTTTTGTATTAGCCCTTTTGTCACTACATTTTACTAAGACAATGAAAATTCATCTCTATTTCTGAAGAAAATGGTAACTTTCAGCAGTATTATTTTAATTATCTGCTAAGTAAGAGTTTATCTCATATTATCATTCTTTTCATAATGCAGCCTTTTATACTTCCAATTCCAGCATAAGTTTCTACTTTTGATTTTCCTATGTGCATTTTGAAGAAAATGATAAAATGCACATCAGGAGCTCTAAAACTTACTTTGTGCATGTCAGGATACTGTAAATTTTAAACAAACTGTACATTTTTCTCTGCAAAATCAATTGCATTTTCTGAGAAATACACTGTGTGCTTATTTATGTCTTAGACATATGGTAATTTTTAAGTATGTACTCTTCATATCAAGATTAACATTTTGTTTTCTATTTCTAATAGGCATTCTCTACTTGAAGTGTTACCTTCTCTAAAAATCCTTAATGGTGATAAGGTAAACTCTCATTCAGAAATCCACACTCAAGAACACTGTCATCTAGAATCAAGACATTTGCTTGCATTTTGTCAGTCCCAAATTCGGGAATTTAACTTACTAAGTGAAAAGTATATCAATGGAAATAGGTAAGATTCTTATCTCTTCCTGGTAGTATTTAAAATAAAGTAAAATATACACATAATTTTTAAATATGCTGATTGTCACAATCATGCTGTTTTTGCTTTAAATCAGTGTGTTTCAGGGGATATTCTACCTTTAGAAAAACTTCTAGACATCATGGTTTTATTCTTGGAAATACATCAATATATATTTTGAGTGTAATTTGATATATTTCAATGCTAAAATTTTAGATAAAACAAATAGAAACTTGAAAAAAGTTTCAAGGCACTGCAAACATTCATTCTATTAGTTATCAATAATCAGTTGTAAATTTATTTAACAATTATTATGGGCAAGACTATCCTCAAAGAATTCACAGATTAACATAAAAGAAAATTAGGTAAATAAAATGTTACAATTGAGTAAAACAAGTTTTATAACATAATATATATTAAATTTTAAGGTACATATAATAAATATATGTGTATATTAAGGTATTACAGGACCAAATTTTAAGATACATGTACTAAATATATGTATATATTAAGGTATTACAGCACCACACTGGAAAAATGCAGTCAACTCTTACATGTATTCAGAGCACAGAAGCTGAATCGTAATCAGATACTAAATAAAGAGAACTTTCTTTTCCCCACCCCACCTTGAATCCTGGTGGAATTACAATGAATGAATTATAAGCTGGGTGTGGTAGTGTACACCTATACAGCTCAGGAGGCTGCTTGAAGCAAGAGTATTGCAAGTTCAAGCCAGCCTTGACAACTTAGTGGGACCCTAAGCAACTGGAGAGACCCTGTCTCTAAAATTAAAAATACAAAAAAGGGACGTGGATGTGGCTTAGTGGTTGAGTATCCCTGGGTTCAATCCATAGTAATAAATAAATAAATAAATAGAATTATAATTGATCTTTTTAAAACTGGATTTTAAAATTTGCATTTCTTCATAAAATACAAATAAGCTACAGGAAATGTTTTCACATTTTTTTCACTTATGATGAGTCTCCCTTATAACAGGAAAAATAATATGCACTGTATCAGTGAATTCAGCACCTTACCATAAACATTTGATATCACTGTGTACCTTTTCTGAATTTTTAGTAAATAAAATGAGTAAAATACAAAATATGAAAAATATATTGAGGGAATCTTTGCTAATGCCTAGTAATTAACTTTACGAACACAGAAACTATCTAATTATATTTACATTGTTAGGAAATAATTATAGCTTCCATTTTGTTTGTTGTGATGAAATATTTTTATGTAGTGCATTATTTCAGAAGAAAAATAAACAAACTTGTGACTATATATTAAATATATCCATAAAATATATGTTTGAAATAAGTAAAACATTTTCAAAATATGATAGGTTTAAAGGAAGATAAATAAAATGTCTCTAAGAATAATGCTCATATATCCTTTACATTTGTTATTGACAAACACATGAAAGTTTGAGTAATTACATAAATCACAATATACAAAAGAGAAATCCACAATTTTTTAAGAGAATCTCACCTATTTATGTCTTAAAATATTTGAAATCTCTTTGCAATGGATTGTTTTTCCAAAGAAAAATAGAAATATAAACTTTCCCATAACATAAATTCTTTGTTTAAAAGTCCAATACAAATATTTTGTGTGGCAAGAGTCAATGCAGAAAGTACTTTTTAAATTTATTTCATAAATAACTTCTCCAAATTTAGGCAGCCATGATTTCTCATGTTTATGGTAATAAAAGCATGAATTTTTCTCATTCAGTTGTACCAAAAATATCTTGAATAAAAATGGTCCTAAATCTTCCAGACATTTTGTCTGGACTGACAGTTCTAAATTAAATAAAAAAATTTTTAAGATTTTGTTTATAATGAGGTGAATTTTATAAATAACCAGAAGTAATTTACAGTGAATGTTTTAATTAATTTTAGTGTTCATTTTAGGCCATGTAACAAAATTTATTTGCAAAATCTATTGAAGTTTTATACTTACTGAATAGTATTTAATACTAAATGGTCTCATCATTTATTTGTTCAGGGATGTGTTCACCTTGGATACTGCAGAAAATTTCTGTTATTATTTTAAGAAGTTGATGACACTTAGTAATGAATGCAGATATGCACATGAACATGGGGATATAAGTATCACTAAGAGAGATGAATCAGAAACCCAGAAAAATCATTTGGCCCTTCCAAGCAGTGACTTCATACTGCAAGATGAAGTCTTCCACTCTAGCACCAACAAACATAGAACAGACTCACCAGGAATTTCTGAGCAGTGGATGGACCCTTGCTTTAATAATTCCCCAATAAGCTACTCCTCTGCATATGAAGTTGTGGAAGGAAGAAGTCAGGAAAAATTAGTAGGCCTGAAGAAAGAAGATGGTAAGGCAAAAAGCATCCCCACCAAAGGAAGTTCATTCATGGAAACAGAAACGACAAATTCTCTGCTGAGGAATCACCAGCATATGGAACAGAATGAAAAAATGTAAGATTTGTAAGTCATATTCTTTGCAGATGTTATGTTTACTATTTTTGATGGATGATATTAAGTCAATGGTGCTAAATAATAAGTTGGTCAAGGTTTAAATCACTATAATATTTTTTATCAATTCCCTTAACTATGTTTTTATGATGTGTACAAATTAATCACCATGCAGATTAATTTGATTAAATTTTGTCTAGTTTTGATTTGATTTCTAGTATTACTTCATTAAAATTGAGTAAATGTGAAATTTTTCTTGCCTTGTAATTTCTAAATAACAGATAATTTGAAAGAGAAATAAAATATTACATTCTAAAATAATTAAATGATACTTTCTGAATAATCAAGTAATTTATTTAAAAACTATACCTTTCTATTTGCTAAGTATTTTCCCACTGTAGTAAAACATTTAATAAGCATGTGTGCAGATATTTGTGTACTGTAATTTTCTTGGCATAACAGTTTTGTAAGGTACAGAACTAATCTTCATGATTAATCACATAAAATTCCTTGCAATTATTAAACACTTTTATATTTGAAGGCTAATGGCTGGCTATTATTGCTTATTGAACCAGCAAAGGTTGATTTTCACTTTGGCCTATCAACTTCTTGATCTCTTTTTTTTTTTTTCCTTCGTGTCTAGCCAATGAGAGAGAAAAAATGTCAGACTCAGCTTTTCTGACAGTGATTGGTGCTGAGCTGAACAGGGAAGGAGTCAGAATATCACAGTAGCTATTTTTGCTTTCCCCAGTCTTCCTACTTTGAGAAGTTATCAGTGTATGCAGTGATTTTTTTTCTGGGAGTTTTAAATAGTTTAATATTCTAAAACTGATGTTTATTTTCTATTATAGAAATAATATTTTATTTAAAAATGGCTTTACTGTTTCCTGATTTATACTTTACTGATTTATTTAATTGATTGCTTTTGCTCCAAACACTGCAGACATTGCCTATTGAAATTTTATATAAATAATACTTGGAACTTCTGAATGATAAATAAAGTAGCTAAAGGATAATAGTATGTAGGGATGAATAAGTGAAAACAGAGATAAATCAGACTTCAAGAATAAAGGAAAAGAAAATGTATACTCACCTACTAAAATTTGCCATTTAGTAATTCAGAAAGATGTACTGTAGGCTATGTCAAAGTTTCCTAAGCCTGATTTATGAATACTCTTATGCTAAGGATATTTCTTACTTTATGATATTTGCTAAGAAAAGATGATGATTATGATGATGATAGTAATACAATAATAAATCAAACTAGCATTAGCAAATAATTGTATTATTACTTTTCTAAATTCCCACAAATAAACTATAGTCATGTATGATAGAAAGAATTGCTTAAGTAGACTTTGTCTTAAACCAGATTGTATGAGGGAAGGACAAAATTTCATTGGGTTTGATAAATTACAAAACTATTGAAGACTGTTTCAAGAGAACATTGGAAAATAGAATCCTTTCTCCACCTTACATCTTTAATCCAAATTCAGGAATTTGAAAAGAGAGTAAGACAGAATTGTTAACACTTTGACTATATTCTATGCCTCCTTAATATTCCTGCAGTAATCTTTGTGGGAAAGGGAAAAATTCCAATTAGAAAGAGTTAAGTGATAAACACAGCATGTACTCATTTATTATCCGTGTACATATCCATCATACTTTTCTATTATTGCTGCATAGACTAGGGGGATATGAAAACCACAGCACTGACTAATTTTGTGACTGAAATTGGCAAGTAGGCATGGGCTAGGAGAACATTAGACTTCACTTTTGGGCTTTAAGAGGGTATTTTAACTATTTATTTATCTCTTCTCATTGTCACCCTCCACCCAGATCAAAATCCTCAGTATCATACAAAATCTCTATTATATTTCTCTTAAAGAAATAAACAAAACCCCCTTTTACCTATGTCCCTCACATTAATATTGGCCTATTTGCTCCTTTAAATTAGAAGGTTTACATATTTTTTTTCTTCTATAACTAGAGTTAGACAAAAGAAGGATCTTTGTTTTAAGGAGCACTATATGCAGTTCATGTTTAAAATATAGGTTATGAATACCTCTTATGTACAAGTGTATATTCATGCAGATTAAAACTTTTCTTTCTCCTCTTTGTAGCAGGGCAGCGGTAGTAATCCAGGCACACTGGCATGGTTACCTTGTGCGCAGACAGATCAATTTCTCTACACGGAGGCATACTGCTGCAGTAGAACCCCTGCCAAATTCCTTCATCAATATTCAGACTATTTTGAAGAAAGAAAAAAGAAAAAATACTATGAATATCCAAGAACAGAGGGAGAGGGCTGCTGTTCTTATTCAGGTTAATTTTAATCTTTTGATAACATGGGTAATCATAAAAGATTTATTGGTCATCTTTCACTAGATGATTCTGTTTAAAAACAAGCCCCAAATCTAAGTGATTTACAGTTACATGACATGTGACATACAGGCTGTAGGTTAGTTGTAGATTGGCTGTGGTTCTGCCTAGTATCTAGATTGAAAGAATAGTCTTTAAAACTAAAATAGCATTTTTATGGCTGTGTCAAGGTGAACCACACAGTCATATTTAAAATATCTCCTCAAATGTGTCATTTATCAAATTGTTAAGATTTGGTTAGCCCAAGCAGGTCTCATTTGACCCAATTTGTAGTTATTTCTAGAAGTCTATCAAAATAATTGTTAAAGTTCTTCAAATACCCATTTTATTTAAAAATTTAGAAAGAGAGCAGTACATAGATTTAGTCAATGTCACCAAGACCAGATGTCGAACTGAATTTTAACTAGATTATATTGTTTTTAATTTATTCATTCTTTTTTTTCAATTTGATGGGTAATTTTCTAGCCATAGAATATAAAATCACAAACAAATTTTTGCTAAAAAGGCATTTACATTCTGATGGAAGAGGCAAACATAAACTAAATAAATATATAAAATAAGATCTGTAAATATCTATGGTACTGTGCCTCAATTGAATGATAATTAACTGAACAAAAATTTAGCATTTCCCTTTATTCATACATTTATCAAATATTTTTGACATAAAAATCTTGCTAGTGAATGTACATGTTAATAATAAGAATCAAGGGGAAATGTAAAGCAGGATAGAAATATCAAAGGGAAGTTTATACTTTTAGATAGAATAGATATGGAAGACCATAAAATGTTACACTAGAGACAAAGACTAAGCCATGGGCTATCTAGGGGAAGGATATTCCAGACAAAGGAATATCAGGTTCAAAAGTCCTGAATTAATAGAATACTCACAGAGTTTACAGAATAGCAAAATGATTGTGTGACTGGAAAATGATAAAAGGGAAAACAAATAGGATTTATAAGTCATAGATTATTGTATAAGACTTTGGCTTTATTTCTATGATTCAGAAAGATATTCAAGGACTTTAAAAAGATTAATCATGGACTGACATGATCAAGCTCACTTTACGTTGCAAATATATTATACGAGGGCAGCAGTAGTAGTAGAGTTGGGAGGTTATTGCAGTATCCCAAGAAGAAATAATGATAATACAGACCAAAATCTTTGCAGTGGAAGTAGTAAGATTATCACATTCTAGACTATACTGATTTATCTTGAAGATCTGACATGCATTTTGGAAGGAAAAGCTGATAAAGTTAATGTATAGGCATATGGTGTATAAGAGATAAGGAGGAATCAGGGATGCCTTCTAGGTATTTGGCACAAACAACTGAAATAATAACCTTAAATTTAAGAAAATAAAAGAGAGAATCTTTTCTCTAAATTTTCTATCCATTCTTTTAAGGCTATAGTTTTCAAAAGAATCGCCTCTGCCTTGGCTCTAATGAATATATCCAGTATTTTAGATTACTTAATTTTTTTTGTACATATTCCTCCTGAGAGCAGTGCATAGACAAAGCTGGTACTGATGCCAGATAATGGTAGAAATGGGGGTAGTGCAGTTGATTGAAGGAAACTTTGAGAAAAAGTGAGAAAAAATCTAATTTCCATCTCAAATATTATTCTGTTGCATAAAGAATGTAGATGTCATGAAGCCCAAATTCCTGTCATTATTGGATGTGTGCAATGCATTTTTCAGCATTAATGATTAATGAGTAGTCAACTTTTCTTCATTCGTCTCAATAAGGAGAAGTCCATTACCTTATGAAAATGCCTATATTAGTAACTAATATCACTTAAAGACATCACTGGGTGAGCTTTTTTGTATCTGTAATAAAAAGAAGCATAATTTAGCCTTTCTTTGTAATTTAGGGCAAGTTTCTTTTATTGTAAATCATAATAGTCAACTCACTGAATTCAACCACTTTTTCTCTTTCTGGGCATAAATATCTAGTTTGTTGAATTACTTATCATAAGATATAAATTCTAGACTGCCTAAACATCCTTGGAACACAGCATAATGTGGATATTTTATATCCTAATTTTAGAAAGATTGAAGATTTCATGAAGAATGAGTGGGAAGCTGCTTTCTGCTAACTAAAATTTCCATTCTTTATTTCTTCCTGGCATATTGGCCAAGTTGGTTTCCCAGCTTCCCTTGAAGTTTATTGTGCTCCTCTTTTAAAGTACTAGTCAATGGAATATGAGTAGAAAATATATGCACAAGTTGTATAACTTCCCCCAAAAAACCTCCAACAGACATTTCTTCATATTCTTTTCATTTTCTGATTGGCTGAAATGTAGACAACCTCTGGGAACCTGTGGAAGCTATCTGCTAAAACTGAAAAAGCTGCAAAGCCTGAATCATTTCATGTTAAAGTGCTGTCTTATGTGTTTTATTTTGGCCTCCATTAGTGTTTATTATGTGATCTAGAATTAATTTTTAAGTTAATATACATTACAGCAACCCAAAGTATGTAAATATAGCTTGAGAAACAGAGATTGATGTTAATATATAAAAGAGTGGAATTCCAGTATAAAGGATAGTGGCAGTAAAAAAAAAAGGATTATATGTGACTAGAATAATAAATACAGTGCAACTAGACTATCAAAGAACTAGAATATTAAAATGTGTAAGAAATTTGAATGTGTAAAAAAGATGAACTAATTTTAAATGAATTACCAGGAGAACTATTATACCTTTTAATAGAAATTAATAAATTATGAGGTTACTTACCAACACATTTATATTTCTAATAAAATGGGACTTGAATTTCTAACCTTACACAGATCCATGAAGAAAGTATCACTAGGTGTCACACCAGAAACACACACAGTACAGCTTTGTAGAAAGTCTAGCCTGCTAATCATTTGGATGGGTAGATCCATCGTGAGGCATGATGAATCAATCTTTTAGCTCAGTCCTTGAAGGTTAAATAAAGGTTGCCCTTTCTGTTCATTTTACTGGTTCTATCCCTAATCTTGATATATTATCATTATATTGGTATAAAAGAGTGGGGGTGTATAAGTATAATGACCTTAGAGAAAAGAAATCAAGGGAAAGCAAGCATGTCTGCCTAATTCTTAAACCTTGCCAGAGCAGGGTCAGGGACAAAGGAATGTGAAGGGCACTTCACTTTCAAGAAGTCATCTGTCCATTTATTTCTATGTTAGGGAGAAGATATTCTAAAGTGAAGCAAGTAACCAAGATAACATGAAATATTCAGATGAGGGAATCTAAAATAATAATAATAAATAATCCCCAAATTACAAATGTTTAAAAAATATGTTTCTTTCTAAGATAACTTGTATATACTAGTCATCTAGAGGATGTGACATATCCTGGTGTGCAATAAGGACCCAACTCTATGGGAGAAAGCAATCATAAAGAGGGGGATAGTCTTCAAAATGAGTGAGTTAAGAAATTAGGGCCACTTTTTTAAGCAGTGCTTCCAATTTTGTTTCTCCTTACACAAAAATACACCGTCTTTGGGGCTGGGGATGTGGCTGAAGCGGTAGCACGCTTGCCTGGCATGCACGGGGTGCTGGGTTTGATCCTCAATACCACATAAAAATAAAATAAAGATGTTGTGTCCACTGAAAACTAAAAAATAAATATTAAAAAAATTCTCTCTCTCTAAAAAGAAATACACCATCTTCTATTTCTATCATTTAACATTGTTCAAGTTCTTGAATACATTTATATTTTCTTCTCTTCAGTTTAGGAGAATCCTGTACTCTCTTAAAAAGTTAAAAAGTTGTTCATAACAAGATACAAAGCAGGAATATTATCTATACTGCAATTTATTTTTTAGTGGCAAAAATGATTAGTCAATTTCAATTTTTTAACTTTAAACAATGTTGAATATTACATGCTTTCCTTACTTGGAAAACTAAGTAAATAGAATTTCTAGAAGTAATAGAGCAAGGATATTGGGGAAATAATGATGAGAGCCCATTGTGTGACAGTCATGGTCTTACCAGTATATGTAAGAAATTTCTAATTTAATTTAATCTTCACTACGTTGTATCAGAGAAAGGAGGCTAATGATGATCTAATCATTCATGACTTTTATGATTTTGATTTTACAGATGAAGTTGAGCTGGCTTAGTAGTAATAACAGTCATAGTCACAAATCTAGAGGTTAGGAAAAAAGAAAGATATATCAGTGAAAAGGAGAAATATAGTTTAGGCAATAAATATATTAGAGAATAAAGTCCCTCTTGGATTCCTAGACCTACCACATACTTTTCCCAGAAGATAAATTGCAGTCTGTGAATGGAATCTGAAGACTGAAACATGTGCATGAACAAAAAAAAAAAGAAAAGAAAGTAAATTTTCTGAGGGAGTAACTGTGTCTGCCATATTCCTTGCTTCTATGTAAGGTTTTCTTAGAGGAAGCTGAAAAACAGCCTGTTGAGATTGATGGTGAGGTTTGATTGAAACACATTTCTTCCATGTACAAAAAGTGGAATTGGAAGTAGCTGAACAAAGAATGCTTGAGAAGGGTATCTCTCAAGTTGAGAGAAAAATTGAATTTTCACATCAGACATGTTAGATAGGTAGATATCTTAAGTTAGGAGGAGCTAATCTTTTTGATGGTGCCATCCCCATCCTAAAAGTAAGATAGATGACTATACCTATTCTTGGAAGCCTGGGTTTCTCATGTCTTTGAGGATAAGGATGGAAACACTGGGAAAGTCAAGTATTATCATAGGGTGCAAAAAGAAAATCTCTGCTACTCTGTATCAGAGACTAATCATGATGAGCATAATTGAGAATTGGATTCATCACTTGTGACAGTCGTCTAGCTCCAGATACAGTGTGACGTTGTAAGACACTGTATGTCAGCCTTTATCAGCAGCCTGCATGTCCTACCCAGGATTACATGCCTGAGAATTAATGACAGCAATAACAGATTTAGCACAGCTTCTGATTTGTCTGAGTAGTAAAAGACCTTCAACTGACACTGAAGGTACATAGGTACTCAGGGCTTTTCTATGTATTTGAAATGTTCCTTAATGAAATGTATACAGATTCACATTTGACGGACAAGTTGGTCACAGAATGAAAGTGCATGGAAGATGGCACTTGTGGGCATCTACAGAAATCTTGCTCACTGTTTGGAACCTTAGGTTGGTGTCTCATAGATCCACTATGCTTGTATTCAAATGTTAACTATACAATGAGGGGTTCCTGGGATACTTTATTTAAAATAACCACCCCTTCCCAATACTCCCTACTCCCTAATCCTAATTTGTTTTAGTCTATGGCATTTTTTAAGCATACTATATATTTTTCTTATTGCATTTGTGTTTTATTCCCACCTCCATAGATTTTTCTGGTATACTTTACTAACTGTTCTATCAGAAAAAGCTTAGTTTTACACTTTATGAAATTATATTGATTGTTAAACTACCAGCCAATATTGACTCTTTTAAAACCTAACATATCTCTCCTTCCTCATCACTAGATTGTGTGACAAAAAAAAACACACTGTCATGAATATTTCTTTATTACCTTCTGTATGACCTATTGCTCTCTATATACCTGTAATATATTGCTAAAATGTGATGATTAGTTTTCAGTATCTCCAAATATCATATCAATATTCAGACTTCCTATCCAATTTTACAAATGTTAGTTTACAACATTTTCTTAATCAAAATATAAGCAAATTCAACACTTTGCCTTTGGTTTACATGATTCTTATAGTTTAACACAGAGCGATTCCCTTCTTTTCCTTAAGGTTCATTCACTGAAAAAGCCAGATCATTTGTCCTTTATAGATTTGTACTTCCTCTAATTTCGCACAATGTGTTCCCAGTGCATTTAATATGTCTCATGCTCATTTGTTTTTGTAAATCTACAGCAAGATCTAACATTCGATCTGATTCAGATTTGTTTATTTTCAGCAAAGATACTCTGTAGATGGTGGTATGTGTTACAACAAAGTAGTTAATGTCTGGTGGCTTCCTTTTCAGTATATTAGTTGCCTATGCCAACTATTTTATTATTGATCTGTAAAATTATGATTCTGTACATTTTTGCTACTTCGTTTATTAGCTAAAACATGTCTATACAGGAAATTTTTTTCTAATTAATTCTTTAGATACCCTGGGTTACACAGTTCATCCTGGAAAGGCAGGTTAAATGCTTGATACTCTCCCTTAATTGTCAATTTTTAGTTCAGTGAGGTTTCCTAGCGTATTCCAGAGGTTACCATAATGCATATTATTATAATGAATTCATTAATTATTTATTTTTAGTTTCTTCTTCCCAAGTAACACTTGAGTCAGTATGCTTTCCTAACATTGTCTTCATTTGCCCTATAATCTTGTACATTAATGTATATATTTCCATTGCATTTTTCTTTTTAATGCACAAATTGTTTCTTATTTGGCCAATGTGTTTCTTCAAGTTAACCTTTTGATACAATTCAGTAGTCTAAAATTTTTACTTCCTTTATAATTTGATAACAAACAATTCATTGTTTCAAGTTCACTTAATAGACATTTTGTCCCAGGCTTGCAATCATTAATTTCTTCAAAGATCCTTGGTTTGCTTGGTGGGAATAATATAGAGACCCCAATCTGGATTTTAGCAGAATAAATTGCTGTAGATATGCTTATTATTTTTAGATTTTTTTTTCAATGTGCTGAGCTTGAAAACACATTTTTAATATTTATTTTTTAGTTATAGGTGGACACAATATCTTTATTTTATTTTTATGTGGTGCTAAGGATCAAACCCAGAGCCTCACACATATGAGGCAAGCACTCTACCACTGAGCTACAATTCCAGCCCCACTGAAAATAATTTTTTAAGGAAAAAAACTTACCATGTTTCATACAGGTTTTTTAAAATTACATTTGGGACTATATGATATTTATTTAAGTTTTACATTTGCAATTTTTCTTTATAAACTCTTGGTTCCTACTAACATAATTGCTCTTTTTTTCTCTGTTTCACTCCCCACCCCCTCCATGGAGTGTGGAGGGAGGAGAGGTAGGGGAGTGGGTTTATACATACATATAAAGTAGAAATAAACAAAGACCATAGAAATGGGACAAACCAGCTATTTATTCAGAGTGTGCATGTACATAGTTCCGAAGCCAAATCCAAGAATATTTAGAGAAGTCAAGTTTCTATTGCCTTCTACCTAGTTTTCTGCTTTTGTATGTAACCATATTAAAAATAAATTTTATAATTTATACTTTTAATTTTAAATGTAAGCCAGCATTATACTTCAATATGTTTATTTGATGTGTATGTTTATAATATATTTACATACATTTTTTCATAAACAGTAGTATGAAAAATAAACCATAATTATTTCTTGCCTGGATTTTATACTTAATATATTCTGAAACTCATATGCAGTATATAAACATATGTATATATCTATATATGTTTATATACAGATACTAAAGCTTCATTATACTTAGATGTATAGTTTGAAAAGCATCCCGGCTCCAAGATTATTAAGTAATCTGAATATTTTTAGTTTCATTGTGATGACTTTATTTTAAAATGAAATTAATTAATTGTTATGGGGCGTTTGTATATGTTGAAGTTTTCCTAAATATGCTTTGGCTTATTTTATACACAATTATTTGAAAATCAGCAAAATTGGTTTTCTTTGCATCTCTTTCTTCTTAGTTTACAATGAGTCCTAGAGGAATTGTCAGATAATTGATTGGTTGACCTACATGTGCAGTTGAGGGAGTTTTAAAGATTCTTTTCTGCTTACCACAAAGAAAATCTCCTGAGATTCAGACACATGCAGTCGTTTAATTTATCTTACAGTTTTAAGTGTCACATAAAGTTCAAAAAGCAGATTATTGAGCCATTAAACTAAGTTCTAAGATGTTTTATCTTTCTAATGGGATAACACAGAGAATCTGTTTTGGGGTTTGATCTATAACCTTGTATAACATAGTTTAAATTTTTGTTTAGGCAGTTTGGAAAGGCTTTATTTTGCGAAAGAAACTGACAACAGCTCTAGAGGCTATCAAAAATGAAGAATCTGAAGAAGAATATGAAGAAATAGATTTAGAGGATTTTACGTTTGATGAAGTAAGTACCAACTCCAACAAACAATATTTATCTTATAATATTACCTGTACACTATTTTGTTGTATACCAGTTTCTAAGGTATTTACCCTAGTAATGTTATGTTATAGTTTCTTTTTCCAAAGTAACACTTGTGTCAGTATGCTTTTCCTAACATTGTCTTCATTTGCCTATAACCTTGTACAATGTTTAGGGGTGGTCATAGAATGGTTACAATATTACCTTGTACCATTTGAACCAGATTCTCCAGAAGCTAATGTCTTATGTAACTACAGTAAAATTACCAATTTTGGAATTAACATTGCTGCATTACTGTGATCCAGTTTACTTTATTCATATTTTCCAGTAATCCCACTAATGTCCCATTTTTAGTCAGATCAATGAAGACAAGTTACATTTAGTTGTTATTTTTCTTAAGTTTTCTTTGAACTGGAAAAGATTCTGGTTTGTTTTGTTTTTGTTTTTGTTGTATTTCATGAACTTAATACTTCATTTAAAAAGTACATAAGTCTTTCCTGTATTCATGGTCTAAAATATTAAATGGAAAATTCCAGAAATAAATAATTTATCAGTTTGAAACTGTGCACAGTCCTGAGTAGTGTGATAAAATTTCATATGGCCATTCATCCTTCCAGGACATGAATCATCTCTTTATCTCAGGACATGAATCATCTTCTTCTCCACAGTATCCACACTGTATATACTACCTACCCACTAGGTTCTTAGTAGATATCACAGTTAACAGATCACTTTTTCAGCATCATAGTGCTTTTGTTCAAGTAATTCTTTATTAGCATTACGCCTGGAATTGGACTATAAAACCAGTGAGTGATGCTGACAATGTTGTCTATATCATCTATTGGGTTTTGTACAATACACGGTTTCAGGTATCCACTGGGGTCTTGGAACCAGTATCCAGTGAATAACTCTAGGAGTTAAATATAATTATATATATATATATATATATATATATATATATATATATACACACACACACACACACACACACACACCCAAACACACATATCATGAGAATTTTGACATTCAGTAATACGATATTTTCTTTTAAATTCAGTCAGAAAAGTTAAATCTATTTTATGTATTTTCTCTGTTTGTCAGACATAATTTATCAAGCGTCTCCAAATTTCACTGTAATATTGAATTATGAATTCATTAATATTGTATCAGTAAGTCTAAGACAAGGGATTGCAGTTTAACTCAGTGGTAGAGCACTTGCCTAGCATGTATGAGATACTGGGTTTGATTCTCAGCACCACATAAAAATCAATCAATAAATAAAGGTGTTGTGTCCATCTATAGTTTAAAAAAAGAATTAATAAAAAGACTAAGATGAAGCTATTATTTATATAACACTATTGCTCACATCTGAATTGTTTTCTTAACTATACATAATCATATCTTGATCAAAAGGAAGCCTTTTAAAAGTCAACATTATTCTTTTAGTATACAAAATCACCTTTCAGAGCATGCTGCTAATCAGTATGTCTCTAGAAATGCCAAGATAACTATTTTTTAATTGATGTGTAGGTAAAATAATTTAAAAATTTACAACTATTTCACATTATTTTGTCTTCAAATCTCAAATACTCAAAGGAATTAAATTGTTTCTGAAAATTCCCTTATAAAGTCAATTATTTTTCTGTGGGAAAATTTATTTTTATTTATATTCAGTAAAAAAACAACAACTAGCTATCTTGAAAATAATTAAAATGCTTTTAAATCACCCTACACCTTTCATGAAAAATCCTTGTAGTTTATTTGCCTTTGTAAATTTCTTTCTGATGTTCTTCAGAACTAAATTTAATTTACCTTGATTTTGAAGAGATGAGTTAATTTATGCCTGCTTTCTTCACTGAACAGAATTTGTTTACAATGAACTTCAATATGGAAACCATTATACATAATGACTTGTATTATTGAGAAGCCAATTTCTATTCTTTCTGAAATTGTCATACTTATTAAAAAATAATATAGAGGGATTTTTGAAATATACACAATATCAAGAAACTATGAAGGGTTTTTTCATAGTGGTGTTGTACATTTTTATAGATTTATTCCTAGCTATTTGGTGTTTGCTGATATCATGCTTGATTAGCATATAGAAATGCATTTTATCTTTATTTTTATTTTATTGATTGTGTATGCAGCCACTTTGCTGAAATTGCTTATTATGTTTAATAGATTGTCAATTCTATTAAATATTCCATGTATCTAATCATGTCACCTATGGATAATGATAGTTCTTTTTCTTTTTCCTTTTTTTAAAAATTTTTTATAAGTTGTTTTTCTTATTGCCTTGTCCTGATTATTACCTCAAGTACAATTTGCATAGTGATGGTCATTACAAACATTCTTTTCTACTTCCTGGTTTCAGGATGAAAGTTTAAATACTCCCCAATAAATGAGAAGGTTCCTGTAGGTGTCATAGAAACTATGGGTTAAGGAGGTTATTCCTTAGCATGTTCAAAGGCAAGATGATGATGATAATGCTGCTGCTGCTGCTGTTAATGGTGATGATGATCCTATATATGTTTTTTGGGAGATATATATATATATATATATATATATATATATATATATATAAAATACTTTCTATACATATAACTGATTAATTTCTAACACTAAACCTTGTCTTCCTAGAATAAACTAATTTGGCTATAATACATTTTCTTTTTAACATACCAGTAGATTTGACTTGCTAATATTTTGTTTATGATTTTTTCATTTGAATTCAAGATGTTGAGACTATAAATTTCATTTCTTGCTTAGTTATATCTTTGCATTTTGGTGTAAAGGTTGTATTGGCCTTACACATGGGGTTGAAAAGTGTCTCCTCTGCTTCCCCCAAACCATTGCAGTCTTTGGGACCACCATTATACTCTCTATTATGATATTAGCTTTTTCAGATACCCCATATATAAGTAAGATCATATGGTATTTGTCTTTCTGTGCCTGGCTTATTTCACTGAGCATAATGTTCTCCATGTTCATTTATCTTGTTGCAAATGGCATAATTTCTTTATATTTGTGACTGAATAATATCCACTTGTATATGTTTGTGACCTTATCCATTCACAGACAGATATTTAGGTTGATTTCATGTCTTAATGATTATGAGTAATGCTGCAATAAACATGGGAGTACAGTTATCTTAACATATTGATTTCATTTGGGTAGATCCCAGAAGTGGGATTGTTTGGTAACTTGGTAGTTCTATTTAAAATTTTTGAGGAGACTCCATAGGGTTTCCTTTAATGACTGGTAATAATTTACCTCTCCACCAACAGTATTAGACAGTTCCTTTTCATCTGCATACTTAACAACTCTTGCTATCTTTGTCTTCTTAATAATAGTCATTCTAATAGTTGTGAGGTGATGTATCATTGTAATTTTAACTTGATTTCCCTGAAGATAGTGATGTTGAACATTTTATCATAAACCTGTTGATCTTTGTCTTCTTTTGAGAAATGTCTATTCACATACTTGATCCATTTTTTAAAAATCAGGTTTTTTTTTAGTTTTTCATATATTTTAAATACTAACTCCTTATCAGATGTATAGTTTATAAGTATTTTCTCTTATGTTGTTTGATCCTTTGTTTCATTAATTGTTTCCTCTACTGCTCTACTGTGTAGAAATACAAACATTTTGTGCAATCCCATATGTCTAGTTTTGTTTCTGTTGCCTGTGACTTTTTATTTTCAGTGTCCTGAAACATTTTGTGTTTTAATTTTGTTGTTTCTATTGACCTATCTTAGAGTTCACTGACTATCTCTCCTGCTTTATCTAATCATTTTTAGTATATCTCCTGAAGTCTTCATTTCTTTTGTTTAGTTCTACAATTTCTATTTGATCCTTTTATTTAAATCAACTTGAAGTTTTTTATCATCTTATATATATTTTCTTGAACATTTCAAGTGTGGTATTTTTGAAAGTTTCTCAATTAATGAAATGCCTGGATCACTTATAGGTTTGTTTCTATTGGCTATTTATCTCTTGGATGTTTAGTCAGTTCATCTTCTTTCTATGCATTTAATCTTTGGTTATGTACCAGACTTTATCTATATAAAGATGTTGTTTTCTTTCTCTAAAGAAGATTTAATTTTATTCTGAAAAGCAGTTGTTGTGTGAGCAGAGATCCTTGTGAGGCTATTTTTTAAGTTTGTTTTTTTGTTGTTGTTGTTTGTTTGTTTTGGTATGGCTGTTCTATTTCTTGTTTCTCTTAAATTTAAAACAGTTGGGTGTTTCATCTGAAAACCTGGGGTATATATCAGGTTTCTTTCACCTTGTTTATCCCTGAATTCCAATCCCTTTCTCTACTCCACCAAATGATTGAAAATGTCTTCTTAGTTCTTTAGTATCCAGTTGTGGCTGTTGTGCTGTGCTTTTCAGCATCTTGTGTGCACATTTACTACTTGGAATTAGAAAACATGAAGGGAAGTTGTAGACATGACTTTGAGCTCATATTTCTTTAGTTTGCTCAACTCTGGGATCTTGGTCCTTCACTATTCACTGCTTTAGTATTTGTACACTTCAACATTTTCACTTTATTCCAGTGAAACTCTCCAAACAGTCCTCAAATTTATGTTTGGCATTTCTTTCCTGTTAATAAATTTCAAACTTTACTGAAGGAACATTTTCCTGAAGGGAAATATATGGTTCACATCAGCATCAAACTCTACTTTCTAAGGTATTGGCTCTCTCCTGGTTGCCTTGATTGCTCTTAAGTGCCTTGAGCTTCTGTTTTTTCAGATGATAACTTTTAGAATATTTATAGAATTATCAGGAGGATCTTAATTCTAATTCAAACTACTATCATCATTGTCAGTATTATTATCTTTATAAATGAATAATATTTTAATCATCAGTGAGTATCTTAAGTTTCCTAGGTAGTATTTTTACCATGGTGAACAAAATATATAATATTTATAACCTCACAAGGCATACATTTTACTCGAGGTGACAGCACCCACATTAATCTA